GCCCCTGATTGGGGGGGGGGGGACAGGACGCACACACCTCTGCCCCCTGGGGGCACACAGCAGCAGGAGGCATCTCCCCACCCCCCACAGACAAACTGCAGCTCCATCCCACACCCCACCTGGGCAGCACCTACCCCAGCCCCACTCCCTCCCACAATGCAGGGGCCTTGATCTGCCCCACCCCCCCACGCCCCTTCCCTCCCCCCACATCTTCCACCACAACAGACTTACCCACTGCATGCTGCTATATCAGAAATTGGATCGGCATGAGCCGATATGCCTCCTTAAAACTCAGCTATTGGCATCAGCCCCCAAAATCTCAATTGGTGCTCCCCTACTAAGGGGGTCCACAAAAATTATTATGATCAATCAAAAGTATGTGAATATCTACACTTATAATTCAAAGGGGGCTGCACTTCCATTCGTAGTTTCAAAAGGGACCCGCAAATGAAAAAGAGGTTGAAAACCATTGCTCTATTCAATGTAGTTGAAGCTTTCAACTCTAATACACTGTACTTAAAATAACTTAAAAAGCAAATTAGAAGCATTTAATAATTATGGCAATAATTACTTTCCAACCTGTAAAGTTCTTGAGCGCTCAGAGAGAGGCAGCTGATCCACTTCCAGAATGAATTCTTCCACTGCATGGTACAGACTCTGTTGCACCTCGTTTCTCTTGAGAATCAAGCTCTCCCCTTCACTCTACGTGGAAAAAAGAGCAATTTGTCAAATCACATTCAAACTCCTTTTAAGTATGAAGTATAATTCAAGTTTTACTTTCTAAAACTCCTTCTACAGTACTTTCTTTTCCAATTTATGAAATATTTATCAACCTTATCAGGTTACAACAATTCATGCTTGAATAAGAATGTGATGTTCCTACTGTATCTACTGCTTCAAATACTGTATCTAATACAATTAAGCATAACCATGCTACAAACTGATAGAGAACAAGAGATGATTTGTATAAAGCTAAATTCTTGTCTGATGGATTCTAACAGCTACTGTATACATTTAACATGTCCAATTTTCTTTAGGACAAGAAATGGAGAATTTCATGGACTGGAGTCAAGAAACCAGTTAAAACAGCCTGAAAAATCAGACAGTGAAAACTTCCTTATAAAACCAATGGAGAGAGAACTATGGAGCCCAACTGACAGTTAAGTAGTTTCTTTCTCTGTGCCCTGCAATTTGGGAACAAGGTGGCCGGAAAATTGACTGGGTTTTTTTTTTGTTTGTTTGTTTGTTTTTTTTCCCAAGAGATGGATTAAACTAAGGGCCACTTTCCCAAAATCAAGTCCTTGCTCAGTAACTGATAGGATGGAGTCTGCCAACAAGAGGCAAAACCTCCTGTTGCAATGGAAAGGGTAGGAAGAAGGGAGGAGGAGGGGAAAACAAAGAAACTTTTTAGGATAGAAAAACAGCCCAGTGACATTCTCCTGCAGCCTAGAAGTTTGGAAGTCAGGCTAAGTGATCATAATAAGATCTTCTGGCCTTAAAAAAATCTAGTCTTACACTGTAATCCTCAGAGAGAAATGCTGTCCTGACACATTACGGGCAATACTGATACTGCAACAGATATGTAGCATTTTGAAAGTCTGGTACTAATTTGCTCTTCAAATAAAACAACCCCATTCACACAAAACACACATGTAACACTGACAGGTGATATTCAAACTTACAGATAAAAACTCCTCACAGAACTTGTAAACTAAAACAGATTATTCCAACAAACACCCCTCCCAAAAAAAATCGCCCCAAAAAACACATGCTTCAAAAGCCAAAACTGCTCTGACTGACTTCAGAGAAAAGTCTGATTAAAACAATCGTGACTGGTGCTGACCAGCCCAAAAAAAGCCAATACATGACTCACAGTTACCAGGATCAGCTTCCATCTATCTCCCATTTAAGGGACTACTTGTGTTTGTTCAATTGCATCACAAGCCAGACAACAAATCAGATCTTCCAGACAGGCCAGTAAATGCTTAGATGATATTTAATATTCCTGTTACAGAAATACAATTATAAAGCAGAAATAAGAAATGGCAGTCCTTTCCAGACAGAAGCACAAACCTTTTCTGCCTAAGCAACAAGGTCAACAACTCGCCAAATTAGATCTACTTGACAGTTTTTTCCATATCAGCTCTGGTATCAGTTAGACTCGCTATACCAGCTCAGGAGCCAGTCATTTCAGACTGCACGCAAACACAAACACAGAAGGGTTAAAGTCAACCTAGCCTAGCAATCCAGAATTACAGTCAACCCAGCATGATGAGGGGGCCACGACACTGAAAATTAAGGTCACAGGATCTGCTCAGCATCTGACAGTTTTCTTTTCATGCTAAATCTAGTGGATTTATTTATTTGAGTTTGCTTTTTTATTTTAGATGTACTATATGACTCCTAAACCATAGAGGACAATATCCTTGCTCCAAAGAGCTCAGAGACTTTTTCCAGATGTCATACCAAGAGAATAAGGATAATGAAGAAAAGGAAGATAGGAAAAATATCAGTTATCCTATTTAGGCTAGTGCCCAGAAAGATGCAGCCATCAAATATGCCTTTAGTTATTTAAATTAACAGAATAAGAAAAGAGACAAACAGATTTTGGACAAAAACTGGACAATCTGGGTTCAATGCGTTTCCTATGGACTGGTCTCACACACTGATATGGAATAAAGCCATTAGTAAACTCTGCAACCAACAAATATATTATAATTAATATCTTTTCAATTGTAGACAGAACTGCAAGCCACCATTTAGATACAAGAAGAGATAACTAGATCAAACTTAATCAGTAAATGTACATCTTTTAACAGTATGCCTCTTCACAAAGTGTTCATTAACCAATATGGTCCAGTGCCTAAATTAATTCTTCAGGCTGCTCTAGGCTTACACACACTTTCCTATTTGTCTCTGTTGATCTCAGGTGTGCTGGGGGGATGACCCTTGACAGAACTGCCTTTCTACTCTACTTTTCTCTTCAAACCGCTACCAGTACTGCTATGGCAAATTTATTCTCTTGAGCAAACAGAAACCTTTCAAAGTGATGGAGCTCCACTGCTCAGAAGAGCAATCAAACAAGATTTCACAGTTCTCTCTTTGTAACTCAGCTAGATTCCATGTAATCCTCTGAGCTTCCTATCTTAGGTCTTTTTTTTCTTTTTTGTTGAAGTAAAAACTAAAACTTTTCTACCAGTCTATCTTAGAATTAGCCTTTCACACCCAGCAGAGTTAGGAACCATTAGGCTCTGGTCTGCCAAATTATAGCAAACAAAGCCAGAATAAAAACTTAAAATATTTTTAAGTGAAAAGATCTCTAAAATCTCCAGACAGAAGACTACTGCCTGTGAGATAGTGCTTATGCTAAGCAAGGCCTAGCAAAATTAACAACGCACTAAAACTCCCAGAATGCTTCAAGGAGGTTGAGAAGTCAGTGATTGACATTCTGGTGATCACTATCTGACCCTTGAAATGCTGACAATATGATAAAAATTGCAAGCAAGCAGCTTCTATCGTGAAATACAGAAACCGCATAGCTAAACCGCAATGACGAAAGATAACCGCATATTATGCAAGCAAAATCTGGTAAATGTTGTCGTTAGGTCATTAAGAATTAACATAAGAAGCGTAAAAAATTATAATAAAAAGCGTGTCACCTGATATTATAATATAGATGGGTTAACTAGTAACCAATAGAAGTAAGAATTAGAAATGCATATGTATATGTGTTATCATATATAAGTAATGGTAAAGTTATGTTAGATGCCTCACTCAGAGCAGAGTGTGGACAGTTTTGTATCTTTTGCCTAAAAAAAGATAAGGGACTCCTTTCAAATGAGCTGTTGACCAGTTCTGAGACTACTAAGTCAAGCAGCTGCACCTAGCCTTCGGGTTAGAAAGCAAGGGCTTGATTTGGGAACCTCGTGAACCAACAGACCCCTTAGTTTATGACTTTGTGAAACAATAAAAGTTTTAAATTGAACATCCAGGTCTGAACCTGTGCTTAATTCAGTCCTTATATAACTCAGCATGAACTCACACACTGCCTGACTGCAGATGGTACTAAGACGACATTAATTACCTCCTACTGATCAAATATGTTGAGATGACAGATCTTTTTCACCAGTGAAATGACACTGCATCGTTCCTAGCACTTGTTCAGCTAATTTTTCTTCATACTTGTCCTAAAAATCTCACACCAACAAAATCACAGAAGGGTGATAAGGACAACTTTAAAAAAAAACAAGACAAACAAACAAAAAAACAAACTTAAAAGATTTTTTGGGCCAATTATTAACCAGCCATATTGGCTGATACTGATCTGATTGCCAATATACAGCCTGGTAGCTTGGAGAGCAGCATCCAGCTGGTAAGTGTGTTGGGGGAAAGGGGCACACTGAGGCCCCTGCGGTGAGGGAGGAGTGGGGCAGGGGCAGCCACTGCACAGCCAGGGCAGGGTAGGGTACAGGACAGAGGCATGGTTTGTCTGGGGGACTGCAAGGAGTAGAGGCAGCCCCTGCTGCTGTGTGCACCCCCAGGGGAGACACTGGGGGCATCTTCCCCCTGGGGAAAACATGGGGGACATGTGCCCCCCAGATCTGTGTGTGGGGCAAGGACAGACTGCCGCTGTGCACTCAGGGCCGGGGCTGGGCCTGAGCACACAATCCTGCTGTGCTCTGAGGTAAAGGGCTGTGGCTCTCCCAGCCACCAACCTTGTGAGCAGGGGCACAGTATGCGCTCCCTCCTCCAACATGTGGGCTCAGCTGCCACTACTTCAATCTCAGCACTGTGGGGTACAACTCATGGGGCTGCAGCCCAGCCGGACCAAACACCCTGCAGCAGTAGGGCAGCCATGGCACTTCACAGTTGTCACCTATGCCCCCATAAATTTGTCTGCAGGCCCCTCCCAGAGCCGGAGAGATGCAACAGGCCAAGAGGTACCACACACTGCCTGCCATCTTCCTGCTGCTCACTTAAGCCTCGCTACTACCAGGGGCTAGGGGCAGTGGCAGCAGCTAGGAGCTGCAGGCACCAGGCACAAACCACTTTGACCTCTTGCAGGCAATAGGGGACAGCAGCAGCAGCCTGCACCTGCCCCGGTTCATGGCAGGTAAGAGGGTGGTAGCCCAGTGCTACAGCAGCAGCACCCTGCATCCCTGGAGCTGCATCCCTTGCAGGAGCAGGTGGCAGGGCAGGTACCCTGGCTCTTCAACACTGCCAGGCACACAGGTAAGAGACCCTGCCTGCCTGCCCACCCATACCTACCCCCAGAGCAGGGTGCAGCAGGGCTGGGTCCCGACACAGGGATACTGCCCAGGTTCCCCTGCAGCAGTCAATCCTCCCTGCTCCTCCTGACCACACACACACACCCACACACACACACCCCGTCCTGCCCCCTGCCAGCCCTCCTTACAGGCCCACCCTCCAAACAGCATCACCTGCACCTGACCCACAGGGCCCCCAGGCCCTGCCGGAGCCTCTCATTCCTAACCTACAGCCCCCCCAGTCCCAAAGGGGGTCCCCAGCTGCACCCCACATCCCCAAGCCTCAGCCCCCCGCCACAAGCTTTACTTACCCCAAAGGCTTCAGGAGGGAAAGCAAGTCTAAGCCAAGCCCCAGCTCTCAGATTCTCAGGCCCTGCCCCCGCCTCCTCCCACTCTGGACAGGGCTTAAGGTTTCCCAGAAAATGGAAAACCCAAATCCCTGTTTATAATAACAGAAGACATAACTGATAAAACAGGAGAGCAACAAGACAGCAAAACAACACATAAGGCAACTAGAATATCAACATGAAGAGATTTGCAAGGTGCTTAAAATATAGAGATTACAGGGGGCGGGGGTAAAACAAAAATTCCCCCCTCCTCTTCAGCTGCTGCTGCTTCTTCTAGAAGTATGATTCTCAACAAGGGTGATGGGGCACCAAGATCCTTTCATGCGTGCAATGCAATATTAGCACTGTTAAGTGTGCAAACAGCTACATATAATTCATAAGATAAACTCAGAAATTTCAAATAGGAATGCATTGTGTAAAAAATATTCTGACCTATCTTTGCCTTCCTGAGTTCTTTGAAATAGAAGAATTGTTTTAATTCTTTTTCTGTAGTCTAAGAATGAGCAAAAGGTAAGAGTGACCGTTTAACGGGTGCCTTAAGCCTACTACACATGTTGAGAACCACTGTTCTAGAATCAGGAAATTTCCTGAAGGAAAAGTATATTTAAGCTTACAAACACCCTTTTCTATTTGTTGTCTGCCAATCTCAGCCATGGAAGCTAGCCTATTTCCATTTCTTTCTGCCCAGCTCGCTATAAAAGTAATCAAACTAAAATTCTCATTTGTTTTAATGTTAACCCCTGTGTTAACAGTAGGTATTACTTATATAGCATGAAATATTTTTTTAAAACAAACAGTTTAGTTTACAAGTAACCTGATAAATTACTAAGAACTGAACATTTTAAAATATGTCTTTTAGTACTGTACTGTACTTCTTAATAACTCTCAACACAGATGAAGAAAATAAGAGTCATTTCACTTCTCTTAATAGGTCATTTTCTACTCCGTTTCATAAGTTAATGTAGCAGTATAATTCTGCAATGCTTAGCAATTAAGCAGACTTGCTTAAAAGATTTTCATTTACAATTAAGAAAAGATTAAGACTTTGTTTTCTACTGGTTTGAAATCTTTTTAGAAATTACTTTTTTTTTAGCAGTGACAAATCCCTGAGGGTTATTTTGTGTAAAGAAATACTGAACTGAGCCTTAAAGCCACTCCCCAACTAGGAAAGGTGTAAAAAGAGAGCTACATACACTAATGGGATGTTACTTTGCATTTATGACACCTTGCTCTCTAAAGCACCTTGAGATCTATGGATTAAGACCACTATACAAGAGTTAGTTACTATAACATAACACCTTCCATCCAAAAATATCAAGACCCCTTACTAACAATATTTTAACCTCTGCAACACAATTATAAGATAGGTAAGCACTGGCTCTGTCTACACAGTAAATTCATCATCCCCAGCAGCACCACCCTCAACAGCATGCTGCTCTGCTCCAAATAAGCTAACCCTTAAGCCAGCAGCATATCCTTTCCACTATGCAAGAGGCCCATTCTATACTAGTTAACTGTGCAACTACCTTGAGACCAGCTATGCATGCAAAGTACTTATGCCATAAAAAGCTCCAACCTGCTATAAAGTTAGACCTTTAAAATATGTACTAACTTTATACCTGGTTGCTATCAAACTTTAATTTGCGTGGGTAGCAGGGTCAAAGGCTGTGGCAGCTGCATCTCCAAGCCATGCAGGTGTGTGGGGCAGCAGGGAGCCCCAAGATCAGGCTCCCTCTGCGCTGGCAATAAGGTGTAATGGGAACTAATACACAATCACGCCTGTTGCCATGCGTGCATAGCATGGCACAGGCGCAAGTGGGCGAATGGCAGAAGGTGCGAGTGAGTGGGAGTTAGATCCCATTGCAAATTTACCTGCACATGTAGAGGGGCTCACAGGTCGCAATTAGCCCACCCACACAAGCACAAAGAAGTGGCTACATTGCTTCTGGCATACCAGACAGCCTACCTGGAGTAACAGAGCACACTTGAGGATAATGCCAATGGAGACAGTAAGTTTACCATACAGGCATCATAATTATGCTCCATTATGGACCATCATCCTTGCCCTGTGCTTCAAACACAAAGCATTCCTTACTCCAGATCAGCTGTGTTTAATAGCTCAATCCAGTCTGTGCTGCTGCATATTCTGGCAACAAAAAAGAGAAAAACGGAGTCTAGCAGCAGCAAATGCCAACACCAGGGAAGGACCTGGGTCTGCAAGGAAAATGAAGAAATTAACACTGTTCCCTAAAGCTCTCTCCTACACAAGGCCACCAGGCCAGCTGTCATAGTTTTAATACACTTGTTTTCTCTCTATCACAAAAACAGCAATTAGTACACAGCCTCAAAAAGCATTTGCAAGGGTACCATGGAGAGCCCAGCATCTCCAAAATTAAAGATGAAACTAGTTTTCTGTTATCAGCACAAAACCTCTTACCTGCCATCCTTTGATAGATTTAAGATGCCCCCAAGTCTCATTTACAGTAAGCTTAATTTTCTTAAAAATAAAATGAACCAGCCACAAATGTATTAGTTCCTGGCAAATGCTGCAAAGTCTGCTATATGTAGTACCCAAGACATTGTAGATGTTTTGAATTCTGCATTTATAATAACAGAGTTCATTTATAAGCAGAATGTACTATCAACAGCTAACAAGTTTCAGCTTTGCAGAAAAAATCCAACTCACCACATTTTTGCATAACTGAATCATCTCTTGAGCCAAGTTATACTCGGTCCAAATCTTCTCCAAATTTTCCAAGGAGGACGGAGTAGCGAGGCATCCTTCAGTAACTACTTCCACAGCTTCTGATAAGTCATCTCCAAAATGAACATTCATTTTTTTATGCCTATTTGGTGAGGGGAGGGGCAAAAAAAAAGGCATTCAACAAGACAATTTTATTTGGAAAAATAATTTTCTTCAAGCACCAAAAGTTTTAGGAAAAAATATCACCCACCAGTGTTACTTAAAATTGCTCTAAAATATCAAACACATTAACTCTGTTTCAGAACCAACTACAGATAACAGGAATTCATCAAAATATAGGTAGTTTCTTGTGGTACAGAACTATCATCCCTCTTCCTTGTAGTTTCCTCACTGCTTCCTTGTCTCCCTTTCAATTTATTATTCATTTTTCTATTTCTCTATTCTCTACCTCATACTGCTCTCTTCTTTGAAAGGTTAATACCCAGTTTACCCCTTAAACATGTTAAGAGACCTTTCTTACTAAAGCAAACGATCACTTTTTTCTTAGTCTCCTCCGTATGCACAAAGGCACTTTTTATAGCTATACTTCACAACTCCATTGTTTCACTCTGCCTACAACACAACAAAAAGCAAATACAAAAAAGGAGCAGAGATGTAACTGACTACATAAAAAGACACAAACAAACCACTAATGTACCATGTTTACCCAAATACAAAACCACCTTGGATGTAAGACCCAAATAATCAGATTCTACACACAACATTTATAAATTCAATATAATTTTTCATATATAGAATCTAATTATTGGAGGATCATCTTAAATTCCACCCCCTCACTACTGCAGGTGATAAGGGGGGGCAGTAATGGGGCAGGTGGTAGGGGACAAACACTGGACCAGGCAGCAGTGGGGGCATGTGGTAGGGCACATGGGGGGCTAGTAATGGGACAAGCAGCAGGTGATGCTAGGGGGCAGGGAGAATAGAGGCAGTGGGGTAGGCAGCAAGGGAAGCAGGCAGCTTGCCCCACCCCAGCCTCAGGTCCCCACCTCCCCTTCCTCCCATTTCCCCTCACTGAAGTCCCCCACCCCCTTACTTTTGCTCTGCACCAGTAGGCTCAGTTGCTGCTGCAGTCTGGGACACAGAGCATGGCTCCAGGTCAGCCAGTAGCAGCAACAGCACAGAGCCAGCACTGCTGCTCCAGCCTGGCCCATAGCAGCAGTGCTGGCTCCTTGTCACTGCTACAGAGCCAGGCTGGACCCACGCTCTGTGTCCCAGGCTGCAGAAACAAAGCCTGCTGGCACAAAGCAAATGTAAGGAGGAGTGCAGCAGAGGTGAAGAGAAAGAGAAGCAGCGCAGGGTGTGGGGGAAGACTGGAGATTGCAGGGGAGGACAGTTAGGGCATACAGAGGCACATGGGGTGGAGGCAGAGGGGGACAGGCAACAGCTGCGGCTCCGGCTCCGGCTCCAGCCCCAGCCCCAACCCTGGCCACAGCTGCCTGCCCCGCCTTGCTCGATTGTAAGCCCAGGGTTTTTTCCTCCCCTTACTAAATGGGGGAGGGGGGAGAAACCTTGTCTTTAATTGAGTAAATATGGTGCACACTTTGTGGTGCAAGTGCTTTTAAAAAAAGTTGGTACTTTAATCCAAATGTTTCCTGCAGTACTTGGGATTTTAAGCCCCATTTACAACAATGATGAGAAAAGAACACAAAGGTCATTAAAAAGAACTTTATTACATTGATAAATGGAAAAAGGTGCAGATTTCATTCAAAGTTTTCAAAAAAGTACGAGTCTTCTCTAAAATAATTTAAGTTACTTTTTTTAAAATCAATTTTTATATGGAATATAAAATTTCCACAATGTATAGAAAACAAGAGAGTAAACAAACACACTCATTTTATAAAAAGGAAAAAAGTAATCAAGAACAATTTAATGCAATTACAGAAAAATGATAGTTTAAGAGAGATGTACATACCTAACTTCTTTCAGTATCTTGAACTTGGCAGCCAAATTTCTCATTTTAATTCCAACACATATTTGCAAAGTTTTCTCCAAATGTTTCTGAGTTTCATTAGAAGCTTTCTTTTCTTCCTATATTTTTAATTGGGGTTTTTATTTTACCATAAGGGAGGAGAGAAGAACACAGTCAGCTTTTATTACCAAATAGAGAGCACTATTACTGCAATTTTAGCTAGAGAAGAAATTTTGTCTCTTTTAAAGCAATTTGCCTATAAAACATGACCGCATGTGCATATAATCACATAGTGATTTTAAAAAAAAATGTATGTGAATGTGTTATTACACACACAGACACATGTACAATTCTTCATTTTCTTCCCATTTCATACCATTAAAGAGCTCCAGTGAGCTAATTTGTTGTGGCTGGGGTTTTTTTGTTTAAACTTTAATAAGCAGGATTTCAGATTTTACACTCAAAACATTTTGCTCTAGCAGAAAAACAATCCAGAAATTCATCAACTTCCTTACTGTGATAAAACCACAAACACCACCCCCCCCAAAAAAACCAGTAGATCAACGCCACCTCTGATATAATTTTCCCCAAGTCAACAAGACTGGTAAGAAAAAATGAAGAGAGGGAAGGGAACTTGGAGGGAGAAGGGGAAATATATTCCACCTCCAGGATTCCCAGTCTGGCATCAACAGGGCTTGCAGCCATAAATCAAGATATGTTGGGGGTTTTTTATTCCTTCTTTGGGGGCCATAAAGTGTTCAGCCTTATGCACACAGATCAAAATTTTAAAAATTTATAGTGAAAAATATTTTTAAAATTCCTGATAAAGCTCTAAATTGTTCTTTCTATGTCTAGCTCTGAGCAATTTTTTTTTTTTTTTTTTTTTTTTAAAAAAGGGGTAAAAAATTTTTTAAAATTCTCTTAAAACTCTAAAATTTTTTTTTTTTTGTTTATCCTTGGAAAATTTTTTTTTTTTTGTTTATCCTTGGAAAATTTTTTTTTTTTTGTTTATCCTTGGAAAATTTTTTTTTTTTTTTAAAAGAGGTTTCAAAGACTTTCAGGATAGTTATTAAGACAACTTAGCTTCTGATACTATAAACATTTAGATATATGTTGAACTGAGGTATATTCATTCCTGTGTACTTATGTACCTGCTTAACTTGTTGCAACACCCTTTATTTTCACTATTTTTTTTTGTCTTAAAGTTCTGCAGAACTCAAGTAAGATACCCTACCACTAGCAGCATTTACAAGTAACAGCATTTATACATTTAATTCACTATGAATTTGTAACAACACGCATTCGAATTTGTTTTAGAAAACTTCAATCTGCAAATCAAGAGCACATGAAACAAGAAAACTTGATAAAGAGGAGGAAAGACCTGGCTTTTCCTGTCTCACCATATTCTCATTTAAACAAGTTTACTTGCAATTAAAAGAAAAGGCTAGTTCATCTTTAAACATAGAAGGAAGAAGTAAAGAATCACAAATCTCAGAAGGCAGAAGTTCTATACCCTATGAAAACCAGTCGTTGTCTACACTCAAAAGTATTCAAATAACTTAGTAGTATTATATAATAGATACTGTCTTCAGATGGAAGCCCTTGGGACAGCTTCTGGGTCAGGGAAAGAGCAACACCCTCCTAACCAGAGGCAACTGGTCTCAAGTGAATAACAAAGGTGGCTCTGAAAAGTCTTGCTCTATTCCCACCTGAACTACCACCCACATGTTCTCCTCTCTGTTCATTACAATTTGATCTGCTGTCCAGCAGGTGGGGAACAACAATGGGCATCTGAACACAGGTCACTCTATCAATACCCAAAACTTGTATTCATCATTGAGGACTTCCCTTCTCTAATTCACAATTACAGAAAGAAAAGAGACCTGCCTAGCCCCAAGCACTGAAAATTTATCAAACTTCTATTTTGGTATTTCTGAAATTGACATGATTCAAGTTCTTGTGTTTGCCAGAATCTAAGAGCCCTTTAACTGGGGACAATCCCTCATTTTTATAATTTTTGTCAGGCACTATATTTGAAACCCCGTTTTACTTACCCATTTTGAAAATAAATTAGTAACTGTACTATCAGAGTACAGGACACCCTCACTATTCGTGAACTCCAGATTCGCAGATTCAAATATTCGCAGGGGAGGGCAGAGCCAGGAGGCGGGCAGAGAGCAAACACTAGGGACATGAAAGGAGGCAGTGGCATTTTTTGTGCCACCACCACCAAAGGCAGCCGCAGTGGTGCTTGAAGCAGCCGTGGCAGCACTCGGGGGGGAAGCAGTTAGTCCCCAGGTGCTGCGGGGGAGCCCCACAAACAATGGGGAGGAAAGCAGGGGGTGGCTGTGGGGTCTGACGGGAAGCATTGTCAGCCTGACAGGGAGCCGCATCAGGGCTTAAACAACTTGGGGCATCAGTATTTGTGGATTTCACCATTTGCAGGGATCTGCAGAACATATCCCCCCATAAATGGCGAGGGTCTGCTGTACTATGTACTTCTCAGCTAGGATCAGTACTTTTCACTGTGACATACCATATGCACGTTTGTTTTTGAGGGTTTTTTTTAGTTTTGGTCATACAGTTGAAGCAGCAATCCATTTAATTCAATTCTGTGATTCAACACACTGGAGATGATTTAAATGTGTCTACTACTATTTCATAGCCAAAATGTACCAACCTCTGTATCCAATAAATAAATAAATAAATGTTTCAGACCACAATGTTACAAAAAGAAGATTCAGGCCATTTGTTAATACAAGGACATCTTTTTCCCTGTTCTTATAGTAAAAAGATTTCCAAATAGGGGAACCAGAGCCCAGTACAGAAGAGAGAAATGAGAGAAAAAAGCCTATCACCACAAGATTATGAGATTACCAGATTGCACTATATGACCTAGATGGCAAAGGGCACCAGGAGAATGGAGTTTCTGCTCACTCTTCCATGTACCTGCAGTTCACATTTAAGATGTTGCATCTTCAATTCTAGTTCTTTATAGTTCTGTAGGATAATTTGATTCTGTTCCTTAATAGCTTCTTTCTCCCCTTTAAGCTTTTCATTCTCTTCAAATAGTGCCTGATCCTGTTTTATTTTTGCCAAACTGATGTTGGATCCCACGCTGAAGTCAGAAGCTGTATTTTTTTCCCTAACAAAAATGAAATAAGGTTAAGGAAATACAGATACTCATCTTATCAAGCCATAGTAATTCTTTAACCGCTACTGTAAAAGTTCCCCAAGTCATACTGATCAAAACCAGAGACCTATTTTATAAGCATCTATCCACACAGTCATGCTTTATTTCTCTGGAGTGGTAAACTTCCTATGTTGGTCATCGAACTAATTTGTATGCCACACCAAAAAAGAATTATACACTACAAATATCTATTAGCTTTCACTTGCTTGCAACAAACTTTCCACTACATCTAAAGACTTTTAATGGAAGGTTTTCAATTAAATTCCATTCCTACTGACCAAAACCTCAGTACAATATATTGCAGCCCTGGCAAATCAAGCCTTTCTATAACTCAAATATTTTAACTATAAAATAGGTCCAAGCACTTTATAGCTTTTCTTTTCTGTTCAGATCTCAAATCAACCTATAATTATAAGAAATCAACCTATAATTATAAGAATATTATTTATTTCCATATTTAAGAGCAATGATTTGATATATGCAGTACTTCTCTGGCAAACTATTTCAAATCATTGCATCTACTTCTGACATATTTATTCTTTGATTTTAGGTTCATAACAATTTGTCACTGCCTCCGGTTTCTGTCATCAGTAGTTATGCACAAATTCTAAGTAAATAAAGTGAAATATACAGCATTAAAGACAACTGAGGGGCCAAGTGGAAATAGAAGATGTCTTTGTCTGTTAGCCACATACTTGTTTCAATAGATCGGTAAAGACATTTCTGTAGGCAATACTGTTGTTGAGTGGAAGAGAGGACTGTTTACTGGGCCCTAAGCTTCCCTAAAACTCAGAAGGCAGTGCTGACTGTGGCGGGTGTAGAGATCCCACCTCAGGAAC